CGGTGTCCATCTCCCACGCGTGTGATCATTAAAATCATCGTTTGACTCAACTACACCAACCAGTGTTGTTATTTTGGTTTTTCCTCTTGTATCCATCCCCAATATTTGAATCCGTAACATGATCTTGCCAAAAATAAATTACTTATTTTTAATGATCCCTAACAAACCATCACAAGATTGGTTCAGATCTCTGGATTCATATATTTCTAAATTCCTTTGGAAAGATAAACCCCCACGTATCAGTTTAAAAACGCTACAAAGAACCAAGGATAGAGGAGGATTAGATCTGCCTAATTTTCACCAATTCTTCTTAGCCAACAGGCTTCAGTTCATCTCAGAATGGCTAAAACATACCTTCTTAGATGAGCCCTGGCTAGATGTTGAACAGGCACTATGCAAAGATTTCAGACCTACCATTTATCAGCTCAAACATCAAAAGACATGAATGTTTTAAAAGCATCAACATCAGCTTTTTTCTGACAGCATGGTGGGAGTTTCTAAAAAATAATGGAGTCTTCATTAATCCCATGCAAACGTACACCTATCTGGAATAACCCTGACATATTACAAAACAATAATATGATTAATTTTCCAGATTGGAGTTGTAAAGGAATTAAATACTTAGAACATATATTAGAAGGAACAGAATTTATTCCATTTGATAGACTAGTTACACAATATGGGATCAACAAGAAAAGATTTTTAGAATATCAACAAATTAAATCCATAGTAAAAAAGAAATTTAACCACAGTCAAGTTGAATTACAAACACCACCAAGTGCGGTACATTTTCTTACTCTTAAATCCCCCAAATTATTATCTAAAATATACAGAACACTTTCTAGAATAGATGAATCAATATCCCTTCCTATTGCAAAGTGGGAAGCAGATTTATCAGTCAGCTTAGACCAAAACTTCAGGTATGCTTAAAAACCTTTAAATTGATCAAAAATCCCAGTCTGCAATTAATACAATACAAAATAATACATAGAGTGCACTATACAGGTCATCGGATGTTCAAGATGGGCTTTACATCTTCCAACAACTGCTCACACTGTCAAGGCAATACACCAGACAATTACATCCACACTCTTTGGTTCTGTCCACCAGTGCAGAAGTTTTGGCACGAGATATGTGAAGACTTATCAAAGTGTCTGAAATGTAAAATTCCAACCTCCCCTTTAGTATGCTTGTTGGGAAAATTGGATGATGTCACTACAGAAACTAATACAGTCCACATGGTTTTTACTGCCCTACGCATCACCAAGAAAACGGTCCTCATGAACTGGAAAAATAAAAATAATCTTAATTCTAGCCAATATAGAAACCATCTAATAGATCACATTAGTCTCGATATAGCCTCTGCCACCACATTAGATCAATCCCTCTGCGCTCCTTTGATCGGCTCCATCACCTAGCGGGGGTAGGGAGTCGTGGTTTGGTCCTGCCTTAGCTATTGTGGTTGATGTGGAAGTTGTGACGGGCTTAGGGTGCCTGGAGGACCCCTAGAGACATTATCCCTGGAGGGCTTAACCCGGGGCTTGTGTTCATAACCTGGTTAGTGGCTCTGGTCGCTCTTAGAGGTTGTTCTCCTCGTGGCTGCGTGCAGCGGGGCTGGAGGAGGATGGTCTGTGCTGGCAAACGTAGGTTACTGGCCTGGTGGCCTGGCTGCCACTGAGTGGATCCGGGGCAGGCGTGGGGGTTTGGGGTTCGGGGGTGCTTCGCCTCCGGGCTGGGGCCCCGGTCTGGATGGGCCTGGGCTCCCTTGCCTTGGTGGGTACCAGAGGACGGGGGGTGCCCACTGGGGTCAGCGGGGGAGCTGGCCCTAGGGAGGGGCATCCTCCCCTCCTCTTTTTTC